ATAGTCCCTCGTCGAAATGTCTGAATCCCAAATGTCAAGTCTGGATCCAATGTCGTCAAGTCTCAAGTCACAACTCTGTCTCTCTCTGTCTTTGTCTGAGAAGTCAGGTGGCGAGAGGGTGAGAAGAGAAGGTGGACTTAGAAGAGGAAGAAGAAGAACTCTCTCTCTCTATGTCCAATACTAACCTGTGAAGTTGGCGCCTTGATGCAGGTACCACGAAGATGGAGCTGGAGCGATGGCGCCACAGGTAAGTAACACTGGCCTCCGCCAACCTCTCTCCCACTCTACGATCTACCACCTACCAGCGCCCAGCCCTGAAGACTACAGCTACAGCTATGGTGCCCAACGCCGAAGACTACAGCTAGCGCTACTACTACTAGCGTTGAAGACTACTGCAGCGCTCCTCGTGAGTGTTGCAGCCGAATCCTGAAGACTACTCGTGCCTACTGACCACTACCTACCCGTGAAGTGCATGGGAACTTCCTATGTAGTACCGGGTGTGCCTCCTGAGCCTGCCGAAGGGAGGCAGGGGCTGCAGCTCCTGCTCGAACTCGTGAGGAACAGGCTATTTCTGGCCTGTTCCGCATCCCTATTTACGTGCTCGAGTCTTCGGGGCAGGTCGAAACAATGAGGGCCTGAAAATGGCACTCCGTTTCAGGCTGAAAACTCTGGGTTTGAAAAGACCCAGAAATAGGCTGAAACGGGGTAGGGACTGCAGGCCCTCGTTTTTCAACATACAGGCTGAAACGAAAGGGGCCTGTAAGCCCTAAGTTTTAGGCTTTTAGGCTGAATGTTCGGGACGGGCCCTGCAGGGCCCGTGTGGCTACGCAGTATGCCACACCCCCCCCTCCTTGAAGAACCGAGCTTACCTGCGAGGGCGAAGCTGTCTGTYTGAGGGAGGGACCACAGTCCGGGTGGSAGGGTCTGGTCGTGAAGCTTCCTGAGCTAACCTCCGCTTTTCATAATGCGCGTAGATCAGCGGTGCGGATGCTTTCAAATCTGCGCCTGAAATCCACCGAGTGTTGTCGCGATCGCATGCTTTGAATGTGACTTTGTACTGCCGCGGCTTGCTGCCGTACTTGCGATCGGAGATGACGCGGTCAACTTCCTGATGGCCATCCATAGAAGGAGGGTCCTGCGATCGTCGGTCCGGAAAGTCGTCGCTCTTGGCTGGCGTGTATGTTGCCAGSTTCGMGGYGTGGAAGACCGGATGGACCGTCAGATGCTCTGGAATGTTGATCACAAAAGAAGGGCCATCGGGCTCATCGCCCGTGGCTGCTGTCACAGACCAAGGTCCAAACCACTTGGGAAGCAGTTTTCATGAAACATCCTGTTCCAGTGCAAACTCTTCCGCGGAGACAAAAACCAGATCACCGGCGCGGATGGGACATGGTACGCGACGCCTGTTGGCTTGCTGCTGCACGAGGACTTGAGCCTTTTGCATATTTGCGCGGGCTTGAGTCAGCAATTCCCTGTACTTCCGGATGGAAGCGGGAGAGCAGGCAACGTCAATGTCGGCTGGTCGAGGGAGGAGAAGGTCGGCGAAGATCCGGCCTTTCCGTCCACCGTGGTGCAACTCGAATGGAGTCACGCCGATCGCCGGATGCACCAAAGTGTTGTAGGCGAACTCGATTCCTTGCATCATCAAGCGAGTTGATGGGAGGCACTTTGTGGCTGAAATACTCCACAGGGTGCCAGACGTCGCCGTCGTGCTGTTCCAAGACTGC